TTTGCACCAAACCAACGCAAGATAGACTGTTTGTAAAATCTCTTTCAGAACGTTGACGTAAATTGGCATTACCTATATCGTGGATCCGGCGATCCGAAGACAAATGATGGTGGGACCTGATTTTAAAAGGGAGCACAGTTTGAAGACCACGAGATGACCAGCTTTGTAAAGTCAGGTAGGTCCAAAGTCACCTACCTTCACTCACCTCATCTGAGGATTAGTAGTCATGCACATATAACCACCTGCACCTGTGTAAAGTTAGTATGTGTGTGTTTGTATGGAGGCGTGGGTTCAAATCTCACTTCTGACTGCCAGTGATTTTAATTCACTGCCGCTGTTATTCTATAAACTGCCTCTGAACAGCAGATCAACCACTGTACTAATTGATTCACAATGTTATGTATATATATACACAGTATATGATACCTACGTTTTTAAATGTACGTATGTAAACACATAAATGTATAAATAAACACAGTAATAAATAAATACATGAAATATACAAATAAATGAATAGAGATAGAAGGATCTGACTTTGTCCGTCCCTATACCGATAATGAAACCTGGGTTTTGTGTATCGGCCGATACCGAGTACCGATCTGATACCAGTGTTTGCCTCACTGTGTGGAAGTTCCTATGATCATTATTTTATGTCTAAGGCAAAATCAGGCTTGACTTAAACATTGCTTTCCTATCTTTGAAAAACAAAATTAGACAAATAAATACATCGTACTGAATTGTTATTTATTTAAATATTGGTATCCAATACCAGATCTGCATGTCGTCACCGATAGCTGATTCAGCTATTTGAGTCAGTTTTGGACTGATATCAGAAATATGTTTCGGTATCGATGCATCTGAATAAATAAATAATATTAACGATAATTAATACTATACAAGTGTTGGCGCTCTGTGCAGCAGCGTTGGCGGGGGTTCAGGTCTCAGTTCATGATGTCGTCAGCGGGTCTTTACAGCCCTCTGCTCACTTCTGCTGCTGGATGCTGGATATATTAACCTTTCTAATGCATTTCCTTGCCATAAAACCTTGAATTGCAGCTGTGTTTGAAAGGTGCTGTGACATTAAATGAACCTTCTTGCCTTAAGTTCTCAAGCCACTTTAGACTCGTACTAAACCAGCAAAATGTTGCAGAAAGTAATGTTCAGGTGTTTTTAATTGAATTATTATTACTCTTTAGATGACCAACAGACTATAGACACTATATTTGGGCCAACATGTCAAATCAGTTGATCCAATTTACTGTATATTTTCAGGCTGTTGGGTGCAAATGAGAACTCATCAGTGATTGTCCCTGAATTTACACATCAAAATGTATTTTTACACATTAAAATATTAAACATGACCGTAGTACAACTTAGAATTTTCAACGATTTACAAGCATGACATAATTAAAACACACATTCAATTACATTTTTTTTTTTTTTGTATAGCCCAAAATCACAAATTAAAAATTTGCCTCAGAGGGTTTTACAATCTGTACACGTACGACATCCTCTGTCCCAGAACCCTTGCATCGAAACAGGAAAAACTCCCCCAAAAACCCTTTTAATGGGGAGAAAATAGGAAGAAACCTGTGGGAAAGCAACAGAGGAGGGATCCCTCTCCCAGGATGGACAGAAGTGCAATAGATGTCATGTGTACAGAGTGAACAATTTAACAGAGTTGATGGGTTGAGTGGGCATTATTTGGGGTTAGGGGCGTGGGGTTAGGGGCGTGGGATTGGGGGTGAGGGTGGGGGGCGTGGGGTTGGGGGTGAGGATGGGGGGCGTGGGGTTGGGGGTGAGGATGGGGGGCGTGGGGTTGGGTGTGGGGGGACGTGGGGTTATTTACTGCAAGGATACTTCACTTTTGGTACTTTAAGTACATCTTGCTGATTATAACATACTTGACTAAGGTTTTGAATGCAGGACTTTTACTCATCGTGGATTGTTTCATCAGTATGGTATTAGTACTTTTACTGCAGTGAAGGATCTGAATAATTTTTCATCCACAACATTTTCTAGATGTTCTCCACGAAAAGAACGAAACCACGGAGTCCACCAAGGAGGTATCTAAGAACCTCTGTCAGGCTACTGTTGATAATCAGTTAGATGTCATCAGTCAGCTCAAGGAGGCTCTTCATAAGGCCGAACAGGAGCTGAAAAATGGGCAAGAGGAGAAGTCCTCCCTCAAAGCACGCCAGCAAAAAACCTGTGAATATCTTCAATCACAGGGGCGTCTCATCACTTCCTTTCGAGCACATGAGCAGCAAGCAGCAAAACAGACGCTGGAAAAAGCCCAGGCCTTATATTTTAGGGGGGCTTCAGCAACCTGTCTGGTGTACAGTAGAGAAGCTTCGCATGTACTGCTTCCCTTTCCCGCTAGTCTGCTGTCTGATTGTGAGGTCAGGCTGATCTGATATCAGCTCTTTGGCCTGCAGAATCTCCGCCAAAGTTCTCCTCTCAAACGAGACTTGGAGGAGTAGTGCTCGCGCTGGCGCTGGCGCTCGCCTGTAGAGACTTCTCCTGACGAGAACGCGCAGCAAGGGGGGCAAAATCTTTTTGGCCCCACACTGAATCTATTTGACGGAGCTGATTGGCTAAATTGTATGTCAGTCATTTATATCTTTAATCAGCAATTGGCTAAACTGCTTCATAGACCCGCCTCTTTTGGGCAAAAACGATTTAGCCCCCCTAGCTGCGCGTTCTGAGACGTGTCGTGCACACAGGCAGAGAGCACGAGCAGGAAAAGCATATATTTTGAGCAGATATCATATTTTACACATATTACTGGGTACATTCTATCGTTCAAAAACACAAATATTGACAATTTGTATAATTTAGGATTATTATGATTATTATTATTTTTTTTTTTGTGTGGCTCAAGGTGGGGCCATGCCCCATTGCCCTCTATTGGCCAGCCGCCACTGGCCCACCCACACCAAGACAGCCTGACTTCGACCCATCTCCAACCAGCAACCTCACGAGCACGATCTCCTCCGTCGCCAACCTCATGCAGCAGGCCGCACACGCCATGTCCCAACTAGGCAGCCCAGACAAGTCACATGAGGACCTGGGACGCAACTGGAGATGCAGTGAGAGGTTCCCACAACCACTCATGTGACACCAGAAGTGGACGAGGACCAAGAACAGACGAGGAAAGACTTGAACTCTCATTCCCGATGGTCCAAGTGGCAGGTCCAAATGGAGCAATGATGGTCCACAGACCCTGGACTGACAGAGACATGGCCGACATCCTGGCACATCTGCCAGACCCCCAAGTATCAGGCACAAAGTTTGGTGACGAACTTATCGTATTCTGCCGTGAGTTTAGCCCCACTGAATGAGAACTCAGACACCTCCTCATGAAGAAACTTGGCCCAGCCAACTATGCCAAGGTTCGAGCAGCCTGTCAAGCAGGGGCGTTTCTAGGATTCAAAGGAAGGGGGGGCTAAGCCCCAAGGGGAGTGCCATGTTTGCGCGCGCAGCAATTTTTTTTGGGGCCCGTTTGGGGGTATATCCATTGTTTCAGACAGTTCATAGATTGGTTCAATCAGAAAGAGTGTGATTTTGCTCTGTAGTTTTGCTTGCATTCAGTATATGATAACACAAGAGACAGAATTTCAGGGTCATAGTGAAATTTGACAACACAATATGAACTTTTCTCAAATAAAGAGAGAGAAATAATTTTCCTGCTTGTAAAGGAAAGACGGATAAACTAGCTTTCATATCCGCGTCACTCCCAAATCCTAATTCTTAAAAGGACCGCACACAATGGATGGAGAATGGACCTGACAGTATCAACTTTATATCGTTAAGTATGATGATGGGCTATTGGATTGTAATTTGAAGGGGGAGAAAACATACAAACCAGAACGCACGCACAGATGTAGCATGTTAGATTTATAAATAACTTGTCCATGTGAGAAACAACAGTTTAATTTAATGACATCACCAAACACTTTTTTTTTAAAAGCCAATAATGACAAATTATTTGGGGGGGCTGAAGAACATTTTAGGGGGGCTTCAGCCGCCCTAAAATAGGCCTAAAGATGCCCCTGCTGTCAAGGAAATGCCAGACAGGTACAAACCATCTGGGATCACGCTGACAACGCTGCATATAGAGACATGATTACTGTACTGGTTACAGCTTTGACAATTGCTTTCCCGCCGAGAATCAACATGACAAAAATAACATCATGCAAGCAAAAGCCTGGTGAAATTGTAGCAGACTATTACACCAGACTCCATGTTATTTTCAACGAGCACAGCGGTCTAAGGGATAAGAAGCACCTGTCTGAGAAATGGATATATAGTTATAAATAAATAATTATATATATATATATGTCTGTGTGTTTTATATTATAGTGAATGTTATTATATGATATATATATTATTATATTATACTGAATTGCTTGTGAGGGGGACAAAAATAAGATGTCCTGATGTGTTTGTTTAAGTGTTATTTACTGCTTTTTTACATGTTGGAATAAATGTTAAATATTTAACTGCAAAGTAGTAATGCGTGTTTGATACCTTCATTTTTTTTGCATTAAATCATTCTGGGATGTTTGCTGAAATTGATTGGATGTGGCACAGCCCTACCTAGAAAACTTTCCACCAGCCGCCACTGGTTAAAGGTGTATGGCAGGCTGTGATAATTACTCTACTCCAGCTGGTAAAAGGGGACGGGTAAATAATTGATAACAACGTGCACACTGCATTGTAATAAAGTTTCTGTGTGGAACTGTTCCATTCAACTTCTTGCAATGTGATGTGGCCTGCTTCCAGTAAACGCATTTTGTTCAGGTGTGTTTACCTCCTCAACAAAATCCCTGAGAACAGGGATCCAAATTGGCATCCTCCTACTCTCTGCCCCGCCTATATTCATCTACGTTTCCTCCCATTGGTTTTAAATCTAAGGAAGGCTTCTTAAACCGAGATCTGGTTGGCTCACGGCAATGTCAATCACTCTTCCCCCGGTCAGCCTATGCAAATCAACGAATAGATGCGGAACAGGGAGAAGGGGAGCACAGCGGGCATCAATAGATAGAGGCAGGGGGCGGACGAGTGTTGCCCTTCATCATTTTAGCACATTTGTATATTGTTGCGGTCCATTTGTATTGTTTTTGTTGGTCGGACCGGGATACTCACGGAACCGCTGTGAAAATGGCGCAGCCACAAAGCAAGAAGATATTCTTTGAGAACCTGTCGGGAGCGGGGAAAGCCATCGCGGTGCTCACGAGCGGAGGGGATGCTCAAGGTAAACGGTTGAGTGACAAGTTTCAAATGACACAGATATGTATCATCGTGTCAGTGTGGACCCATAGAGGGCGAAAACATACGTCTTCAACTGTGTGATGCTGCACTGTCAGCGAGGCGGTGAGGCGTTTCTGTAAAAAGCATTGCTTCATGTACAATGTAAAGTGAGGAAATAGTAACGACCAACGATGGTCCATTCACTCTGAAAGCCCGCCGGTTAGCATGCTAACACGACACATCCTACTAACCCCATGGAGGCTAACGTTAACTCGCTAACAGCATCACCCTCTGCCGTGGATTTGGGGACATGTTTGTCGCTCGCAGCACGGCTGGCGGGCAGTTAAGAGAGCCGTCAAGGTCGAGCCGTGCCGTCTTTCCCTATTCACAGACCATTGCAATATAACTAACGAGTTAACATCATCATTTTATTAACTCAAGCCTAATACACCTGGATGAAGTAGAACGCCATAAAGGTGCCGGTCACTGCATTGCGGGTGGTGCTGGTTTGAGATGTGACAAGGGGGGTCGAAGCTTAAAATAACATTCTCAACATGTAGATTATGAATGAGATGAGACTTGAGTCTGTGGTTAGTTAGCAGCTACATTGAGGGTCAGCGGCGGAATGCCTGTATCCTGTGTACGTGATGAGCTGCATAGCCTCATCTCTGCTACGTCTCTCCCAACGGCGCATGCGCCATGGAGGAAACCCTGGTCACGTGCTCACCGGCTCGTCTCGTCATGTGTCTGCAACAATGGTCACACATCTATCAGCACGATGTAGAGCACTGTATTTCTATAGTGATTAAGTGCTATTATTTAGGCGTTAAACGGTAGTGTATTAAACACAACATTGCTCTTGAAACTTGAGAAGCAATAGCTTTTCAGTTCAAGTCATGATAGGAATTTATTTGAAGGCATACATGTTATTACATAAGAGCTGCCTCTTATGCCTATGATTATGTAATGGAATAAACTTAATTAAACCCTTCAGAACACAGACTTTTAGATATCGAACATAGTTAAACACCTAAGACATCGACATAATTCAATCATACAGTGAGTTGTCACATAAAAAAAAGAATAAATATGTTATTATTATATTGATGTGACTGTTAAACTATGGAAAACCACCTGTTATGTTGGATAGTTGACCTACAACTACTTTGACTTCCTAGATATTGTAGTGCTTTTTCGCAGCTGACATTTTGATGTGTCATAGTAGGAAAAGCACAGGTGTTACTAATAATAACAATAACGATGGCTCTGTTCTGTTCAAGTGTCCCGGTAAGTCATGACCGCGAGCCAAGCATGCACAGTACGAACCAAAGCAGCTAAATGGAATTCAGCCATAAATCATTTATTATTTACACCTGTGCTCTGCCTACTGCGACCTGTCTAAAGGTCCTTGAAGAAAGAGACCTGCAGGGAGGTCAACCTGGAGATGTTGATTTAGCCCGCCCTTAACTTTATTCATTTTCGACAAGAACAGCAGTGCAGTTTTCTGCACTTTACAACAATTGCCAGCCAAGTTTGGTGCATTCTACCTCTCCCTGGCTCTGGAGAAATGAGTCGATCTTGGGTGGGTGGCTTTATTATTAGAATTCGCCCTTAGCACGAACACGTACACAGAAAAAAAGAAGAATAAAGCGGCGTGCATGACAGGAACTGAATGTCAATGTCAGAGGGCATTGTGTAGACTTGGCTTGGTCCTTTCACTCACTCTGCAAGAAGAAATGTCAGTTATGCAGAACGGGAGGTCCTTTTGATGAAGACCTCTGAGCTCGACCAGAAACAGAAAAGATACCTTTCTTGCATAATCTTTACATTTCATCTCAGATCTGTCTCGCACTCTTTCTCTGTCTGCTTCCTGACTGTGATTAGACCAGGTGGTTCATTTGAACATAGTTATGTAATGAGCCAGTAGGTCATGGGCTGTTGCACTGGACAGTGTGGTCCCTTTCTAATTGTTACGGGTGCTTTGTTGGTTCTGTGACGGTAGGAATGTAGGAGAAAAGACATTTTTGAAGGGTTTTTACTCCCCAGTATAGTCACCATATACATTTCACTGTCCTTTCACCGTCATTGCTGTCGTCTCCGCTGCCCCACTGGCCTTAAACCTTTGTGTTGCTTAGTAACAGCACTGCTTGTCAGGCGTTCAGATCTGCGGTGTTCACTGGTTTGTGCAGAAAAAGGGAACTCGGCCCTTTCTTCTGTTGTTTACACCTCCCGCAGTCAGCCAAGTTCCTGTTGGCCTACGGTGGGTAAAGCATTACCCAGCATCCCCACTGTCAGTGTCTAAGCTAACCTATCATTGACATTCACGTCACAGAGCAGCGCCTTATTGGTTTCCAGAGTTCACTTGGGCTAACCACAAATAACTGAGAGGCTGTGTAGGAGGAGCTGGGAAACATTCTGACCAAAAACGGCAGTGTGCTGTGCTGTAGTGAGAGAGAAAGAAATGTGACCCAAGATAACACACAGCTTAGCTGCACTTAAATACGCTGACACACACTGTCTTTCACATTTAAGACACATAAATGCTTAGAAGGGGAATTAAAGTTGTACTGCTGCAGTTCTTTGTGACGGAGATGAAATATAAATCCATGCAGCAACCTACAGCCATTCAAATCAGGATTTTACAATGATTTGCTACAGTTGACGTGTGTTTTTTTCCCTATTTTAAGCTTAACTCTTGACTCTGGTCATCCCTGCAGTGTTGTACAAAGTTGTTTAATTTTTAGGATTCCTTTTTGATACTCCATATTTTTTTTTCCAGGGATGAATGCTGCTGTACGTGCCGTGGTTCGAATGGGGTTATATGTGGGAGCAAAAGTTTATTTCATTCATGAGGTGAGCCCATACTTTGTGATGATCATTGTGAAAGGCCCTTTCTGCCACTGCTCATAGTTCACTGTATGCTATAGAAGTGGGCCCGACGTAGAGAAATATAACTTCACCTACACACTTTAAATGTTCTCTTACATATCGTTTATGCATAACACATTAAGTACAATGTGTAATTATTGAACTTTTTAAAAACAGAGCAGAGGTAGGACAAAATCTATTTTTAGCAACTCATTTACAGCAATATCTGAAGCAGTGACAAGTGTTTCATATCAATGCATTTCATGACAGGATAAGCTTTGGTTGCACATTGACAACGCTAGGATCCCGGTCTCCATCTGTGGACACAGGGACGTTTGTTTTCACACAGCAGATGTCAGAGGAGCTTTGGCTAGGGCCCGTGCTCTGCTCGCTCATCCTGTCTGTGATCCCCGCACATCTGTGTATGTCATGGACCCCCTCGCTCGGAGTGTTGTTACATAACTGACTTGAGGCTTTAGCAGATGTGTGAAACTCCCCTCCCACTCAGGTACCACAGTACTCTGTGTGTGGTGACGGACACACTTTAAACCACATATATTCACTTCTTTAGTTTCCCAATTATAAATTTGTACTTTTCTATGGTGTTGCATTAGCTATTCATATTTATTTAATTCTGAGTGATGATGACATAATGATGAGTCCACATCACTCCAGCTGTTAGTTGTTTGAATTATCTGTTTGGTCATCTCTTGTATTTATTTCCAAAGAAGCCTCATCTTTTTTTTTTCTTATCAGGGTTATCAGGGTATGGTGGACGGTGGGGAGAACATAGAGGAAGCCTCATGGGAAAGTGTCTCCAGCATGCTACAAGTGGTGAGTAATTATCACAGGCAGCATCTAATGCAATTACTGTATGGGCTCCAGAAGCAGCTCTCTCATATGTGGACTTCTGTTTGACAGCTAAGTAAGTATTTGCTCACAGAGAGCAGGGCATTCAAGAGGAAATTGCAAGTCATGGAGCTAAAAGATAAGGTTGTTTTATGGTCATCCCCGAACATCCCAGCAGCCGGTGTGTGTGTTGCACCATAACGCACCAAGTACACGGATCAAAGAGTATCAGAGCTGAAGAGATGCCCCCACTTCTCGTCATCAGGGTGGGACCGTTATCGGCAGCGCCCGCTGTAAGGAGTTCCGCAGCCACGAGGGACGCCTGAAGGCCGCCCACAACCTGGTGCAGCAAGGCATCACCAACCTGTGCGTGATCGGTGGAGATGGCAGTCTGACGGGGGCCAACCTCTTCCGGGAGGAATGGAGCGGGCTGCTGACGGAGTTGGTGGAGCAAGGTACCGAGGAAAGACCAACCCCCTCTTTGCTTTGCCCTCATACCGTCACTCCGGGTTTTTATCCATTATTATTCTAGCTGTTGTGAAAAAAGCTTTCTATATGAAACCCTGCCTCTTCATTTTGTGTGATTTGCTCACAATGCTCCATCTCATGCCATCTTCTAAGAAGTTCCAACTGTTTATACACCTTAGGTCGGGCTCTGCTGTAAGTCGAAATATGTGCGGCCTTTCTTCAAGCTAGCAGATGCTCATCATTAACATCTGTTAAGATGCACTCACTTTTACTTAAAGTGGAGTTAAATAACTCTTTAGGTTTTCCCCTGAGCTCAGCAGTTCCCATTGCGCCGTTATATTAAGACAACAAGCTGTGAGCTTAACCTGAACAACGGTAGAAACACACCACCGGTTCCACCCTAACGTTCTGATCCTCTCAGGTTTGATCGAGGCTGATGCCGTCCAGAAGTATTCGGCCCTGCACATCGTGGGGATGGTCGGCTCCATTGACAACGACTTCTGTGGGACCGACATGACAATCGGCACCGACTCCGCTCTGCACAGGATTATCGAAGTGGTGGACGCAATTATGACAACTGCACAGAGGTGAGGGGGAGATAGAGCAACTACATCTGTTCATTTATTCATATCTGTTGTATGTAGTAATTGGTAGTACAAAATAATCTGGCAAGTAAAAGTTTGAGCTGATTTTAAAGTCCTAAATATTGTAACTACTGTGAGCATCCTATTGCCCTAGCTTGAATATGTATGTTAATAACTACTTGACATACATCGGTCTCATGATGTTATATTCAAATGCACCGCTAAGTCTTTTTTTTCTGCTCTGATCTTTCAGTCACCAGAGAACATTTGTGTTGGAGGTCATGGGCAGACATTGTGGGTAAGAAAGCGTTTGATAAACAAAAACATAGTACCTGAGGCGGAGGCGTTATCTCCTCTGCTTATATTCATTCATTATATTCTGTCTCTGTGTGTTTCCCTCTAGCTACCTGGCCTTGGTGAGCGCCCTGGCTTGTGGAGCAGACTGGGTTTTGATACCTGAGATGCCTCCAGAGGACGGCTGGGAGGACAAGATGTGTGAAAAACTGTCTGCGGTAACACAATCTTATTTGTTCCCCAACCTTTTTCTACCGGTGTTGATTGCTATATAATGCTCCCTTGTTATCTTGTTTTCCATGACAATGCTGATATTAATCTGCACAATTTGTCTTTTTTTCTACAAGGAGTGAATCCTGACTCTTTTTTATCAGAGAAGACTGATGTGAAGCAAAGTGTTTAGTGTCAGTCTTCTGGTATCTCACTGTGTTTATTTCTGCTTTGGAAACCATTGTTCTATGATTCAGACCCGTTCCAGGGGCACAAGGCTGAACATTATCATAGTTGCAGAGGGAGCCATTGACAGGCATGGGAAGCCAATAACTTCTGGTATAGTCAAGGATGTGAGTACCTGAGTGCAAAGAAAGGGGAAACCAGAAGCACGGAGACCCGATTGATAGACATCCACAAATAGCAGAAATGCTCTGTATTATGGTTTGCTTGCAGTTTGTCTGCCATCATCATTGGCATCAGAATATCTAACTGCTCCTCATGTGAGTGGGGGAAGAAAAATCAGATCCATCTTGCTCCTAATGAGAGAATCATGATGCTGCGTGCTAAGTCCACAATAACGCAGTGGTGGCCAGCAGCAACCTTGGCAGGATATTGCCGATTACAAAGTGCAAACGCAAGCTGCCACGGCAATCTTTCATCAGGGAATAATATCTCTTGCCCCCCCCCGGCTGTCACCGTCGCCCGGCCCCCGTGCTTCTGAAAGCCCATGTCGCAGCCACAGTCTCAGTTTTTCTGTCATGTTGTTTCTCCACCACCCCCTCCCTGTAGAACCGAGCAGGGATGAAAAGGCTGAATATCATAATTGTAGCCGAAGGGGCGATTGATCGTAGCAACAGGCCCATTACCACTGACAATATCAAGGATGTAAGTACAGAGCTGTGTGTAAAAAAACAAGAAAGTGTGGCAACTGCCCGCTTGGACTGCCTCCTGTGTGACCTCTACTACTGTACTGCTGCCCTGGTGTGGCTTTGACTCTGTCGCTGTGTTTCTGGAGTGCTCTGTCAGACACACCTGCTAGTTTGGTAAGATGGCTGTCACCATACTACTACTCCTGCTGCGGATAACCTCACTAAACCTCACACATCTGTGAAGTCAATATTTATTAGATATGTTTTGTACAGTAGATTTGCTCGTAGAGATAATCACCCTGCACTAACCGTTCTTCATTTGAAGGCAAACATTTTTGAGCATTTTTTGTTTTCTTGTACAGCACCTGACTGTCCCCATTATATTGAGCACCCTCCCGCATTTGGGATCTTCTGTTATGCTCGGTATAAGCTAAGAGCTCCCACGCAAACATGACTGAAAAATTAGAATGGCTTGCTTGTGCTTTGCTGTTTCCCCTTCTCTTCAGCTTTTCTACCGTGTTTGTGTTTCAGTGTGTGACGTGCATGTTCCTGTAATTATGAATGTTTCACATTTGTTTCACAGCGTAGTCCCGTTCCAGACAGAATTTGACATTTAGCTGTATTACTAATATGCATGAGATACATTTGTATCGCTTCACATGAGCCTTGTTACTATTTACAGTAGTATTTCTTGTTCGAGTAATACTAAAGTATTTTGCCACAGTATTTGCTAAAACCTGCACACTGTATACTCCTAGCTCGTCGTAAAATGCTTGGGCTTCGACACGCGAGTGACCATCCTGGGGCATGTGCAGAGAGGAGGGACCCCCTCTGCTTTTGACCGCATCCTGGTAGGTCCACCGCTTTATGATCATCCAGTCATCTTTTTAGTCATTTTTCATGTGCTGGTTACAGCTTCTGACATATCAGGATTTGATGCTTTGCAAACTGAATATTATGAAGTTGTTATTATTAATAATATTTGGACTGTTGGTGGAATAAAACATGCTTTCTAAATAGATCACCTTAGGCTTTGGGAAGTTTTAACAGGAATATGTCATCTTCTGATATTTTATAGACTAATCATTAGTTTATTATACCCAGATTATAGAACCATACTATTTGTCAGATGGGATTAATCTGCCTTTATTTGATGACAATTTACATGGTAGACCTTTTACAAGTTGTACTATTTTCTAACATAAGTTCTCTATTTATGTGTCAACACTTTTAACCTATTGTACATGTTTGCTGTATGCTCTATTTGCGGTATTTTGGTAGGAACAGTCCAGCTGCTAGAGCATTTCCTGTTTAATCATGTGTGCGTCTGAGGAGAAATGGCCCCAGGTTTTAGGTTAAGCACATTATCAGATTTATGGCTCAGCACATGTATCACTGCATCACAAACAGCGAGGGACAAGTCTCTTCATGTTTACCACAACCGGGTGAGGTGGAGAAAAAGTTATGACGGAGAATTTTGTGTCCAGTGTGGAAAAAAAAAAAGAAATCACTGGATTTAGGGAAGAAGGTGTCGGTAAATAAACCATTATGTGTTTACAGGAAAAACAGATGAGGTATGATGATACCTGTGTGTATGTGTGTGTGTGTGTGTGTTTGTGTTTGCTCCCACAGGCCAGTCGGATGGGTGTGGAGGCCGTCCTTGCACTTCTGGAGACCACAGCTAACACGCCAGCCTGTGTGGTCTCTCTGTGTGGGAACCAGTCAGTGCGCCTGCCTCTGATGGAGTGTGTACAGATGGTAGGCACTGAAACCGGGCTGGAAACATGCCACACGTTCAATACACACACACACACACACACACACACACTTGAGCACGTATTTACAAAAGTACGGAAGCTGAAGAGAGAGGGGAAGCTACAAACACAAACACTGGGAAATGACTCAGCCCAGACTCAGAGAGGCCGAGTCAATGGGGACGGGTTGGAGGAGCATGAAGTAATGATGCCAGCCCATTGGGCCTGAAGTGGCACTAATGTTCACAAGAGAGTTTTATTGTTTGAGAGGCAGTTGTGTCGGGTTAATCATTATCTGAAGCATTTTGCAGCGTTGGCGATGACTGCCCCGCTGGGTGGTGATGTAATAGCAACGCACAAAGAGGCTTTGATGCTGTGCCGGTGCTGAACACCATGTCCAGGTTTAAAAATAACTAAAGGGAAGGCTTTTCTATTATTTTCAGATTTTGTGAAGTAGTTCAAGAAATGTGGGTCAATATAAGTTTACATATGTTATCCGTTTTGAGCTGGAACAGATGATGACAGTTTTTCTTGTGTTCTGTCTCTTTAAGATAGAAATGAATGCCTACAGATATTTAATCTCAGCTGATTTAAATTACACAAAGGGCCTCTGCTTTTGTACACACAGGGAGAACTCTGTATGAAATAGTACTGACTTCAGACAGTGAAAGTACACCTCTCTCTTCCCTCAGACTCAAGAGGTCCAGAGGGCCATGGATGGGAAGCGGTTTGAGGAGGCCGTTAAGCTCCGGGGCAGGTATGACTGATGGCCCGCTGGCACCACTCTGATACACCAAAGCCACCACTTCACTCAAGATCAAGACATTAGTTTGATGTTGCTTACTGTAGACAGGTGTAGTATGGAAAAAAAAGTGGGTCATGGTGCTTAGAACACCAGCAGTCTGTTGTTTATACACCCGGATACAGTCAACCCTCGTTAGAAATAACGATGCAGAAATTTCAACCCTCAGTATTTCAGCCTGTTTTGTGCATGCTCGTGTAGGTGGCGCTGAAAATGTCTCACGCTGTTGTTTTAACAATATTGTTGCACATGTTTTACTGCAGGAGTTTTGAAAACAACCTGAAGACGTACAAACTGCTGGCTCATCGTAAACCAGAATCCGAACTGCCAATTGTAAGTCACCTCCCGAAATCTCGACGGTGTCAGTCTTGTCAGCTCTGTTTTCCGAACACAAGTCAGACAATATACACACACACAGACACACACTGAGAAGGAGTTGTTTTATAATTCATTTTTTCACACGTACAGTAGCAGTCCCAAACCATGCCTGGAGTGCAGGTTGTTTTAAGAGAGTTGAATCGGCCTCCCCAAGCCACTGAGATGTTTCATTTTGTATAACTGTCCTACAAATAATGACTCGGCTACTACTGTCATGATGCGCTGTGCTGCTGCTATTCTTAGAGGTATCCTTGGCTAAAAACCCCATCTCATGCAATGATTATTCCTGTTTGGAGAAACAATGTGAGCATTTCTCTGACAACAGGTGCCTCTAATAATGCTAGTCATGCTGCTATCATGCGATCAGTGAAGTGTAGCTGTGGAGCTCGCCTCAGGCCCCCCCCGTGCACTCTGTGATAATGACCACTGTGGGCACAGCGTGGCGGGACCAGGGCAGGAACCTCTTATTGATTCACTCTGCAGAGCTTGATCAACTGTCCTCCAACAACAACAACTGCAACTCTCTCTTTGTTTTTTGCGTGATGATTAGACGGTTGAAGTCACATGTGATGTCTGTTTTTCTGTGTTTACTTTCACTCAGAGTAACTTCAACGTGGCGGTGCTGAACGTCGGCGCCCCTTCAGCGGGCATGAATGCCGCCGTGCGCTCGGCCGTCAGGGTGGGCATCTCTGAGGGGCACAAGATGTTTGCCGTCAGCGATGGGTTTGAGGGGTTCTCCAAAGGACAGGTGGGTACTACATCACTGACACACTGGTGCGTGTGCTGTGCTGCTGCCTGCGTACACCGCTTTGCAGTCTCACTCCTTCTGATTAAAAATCTCGCAGGGAAGTCATCACTTCAAGGAGATTTAATGTTATGATCAAATATTGTGTGTACTACTTTCATATTTTAATCAACAACTCGAAGAGAATTGGCAGAGAAAGTATGCAATCACTGTTCACTCCCTGACTGAATAATAATCAGGGAGAGCCAGCGGGGAATAATCTGTCCAGATTATTGTAAACCTATTTCCCACATCGACTCTCCCTCCTCTGGCCTGCTCAGTCAGAATCAATGCAATGCCACAATATATCGATAGAGGGCAACCGACTACACAGACTGTAAAACACAGTTTAGTCAGTGGGATGATTCTCATCTGATCTAACTATAGAGGAAGTCTTAACTTTTGAATGAGAGGTAAAGACATATTAGGTAGATATTTGAGTCTTTAAGTGGAGCCAGGCTGTACTGTAATTTGAGACGCTGCTTTTATCCTCCGTGACCGGTAGAACTGGTTTCCCACTCCTCTCCCTTATCCTCTGCTGACCTTTTCCCGGTTAAAAGAAAAACATAAATCCTCCTTTGAAGAACAGCGTTTAGGAAACGACCTGATCATTTATCTTCATTGAAATGTCCCCAATATCCCCGCTTAGTTAAACATCCTGTGTGTGCCCTGGCCAGCTGAAATCAGGCTGCGCCTGACCCTAAGAAGATTAGACCAGCGGGAGTAATGGATTTCTATACCTCAGCGCTCTGGGACTCTCTGCAACACACCTCTGTGTTTTCCCCGCTCCAGATCCTCTGTTGTATATGAGAGAGTGTAGCCAGGAGGAATGGACTCTCCTTCTAACAATCCTCTGCACCGAGACCCCAGAATGACACATAATACAGAATAATACAGGACTGTAACTGACACAGGAGGTTCTAGGTGTATTACGGTGTGTGGTAAACGGACCAACAACAATATGAAATAATCTTAGGCATAGATTGGAAATGCTGAAGGAAGGAATGAAGTATTTCAAATGGGATGGAGTAAGATTCCCTTTGTTGTCTTGTCCCCTCAGATTAAGGAGATTAAATGGGCTGATGTCGGAGGATGGACGGGACAAGGTGGCTCTCTGTTGGGAACCAAAAGGTAAAGGGCCGCATTCACAGCTATGTATACACTGGAACTGTTCAAATATTTTTTACATGCACAGAAACTGTTCCTACCTCATAAAGAAACGAGGTTTGTTCTTTCCTTCCCTCCAGAACACTTCCTGCAAAGCACGTTGATAAAATTGCCGAGCAGATGCGAGAGCACAACATTAACGCTCTGCTAATTGTTGGTGGATTTGAGGTACGTCTAAAACTTTCTTTTCTTGTCCCTGCTAGCACATTTAGCTAACGAGGCTACATTCCCATTTATACCTCTTAACTTTTTGAAAATGCAAGTTAGTAGCGCTAATGCTATCTTTCATAATCAGCAACATTACGAGCATGCTCACACACTTAAAGGTGACAAAGTCACCGCTGAAGCGTTGCTAATGATATCATCAGATGTCCATGTGTACAGTATATATGACAGTGAACACTGTGATGTTGATCCTCTCCATCAGTCTTCTCCCTTTTTATGTCGGCGCATCACCATCTGGCTCCTTGCATAGTGGTGTGCATAATCGTGCTTCTTTGAATTGTAGCATAAAGCTGATTCACTGATGTAACTGGTATATAAATAACATGATGATTTGGTTGTAATTGGAAACCAGAGCACCTGCTTATTTTTTTTTTCTCCAGCCATTTCACGCACTCCCGTTTAGATGCTCACCAGCTTTATTTTCCTGTGATATATGCAAGTAAATGAGTTTCATGTGTAGGAATGGATGTGTGGATGTGTGTGTGTGTGTGTGAGAGAGAGAGAGAGAGAGAGAGAGAGAGAGAGAGAGAGAGAGAGAGAGAGAGAGAGAGAGAGAGAGAGAGAGAAAGAGAGAGAGAGAGAGAGAGAGAGAGAGAGAGAGATGATGTTAGAGTGGTACCTGTCTGTTTCGCTGCTGTCCGTTGTGATAGACCTGGCTCCTCCCCTTGGCACCACGCACTTTTGTCTCCCCCCCCTCCCTTGTGGCAAGTTAGCACCTCTCATCCAAACCACCCTGCAAACCCCCCCCCCCCCTTCCGCAAACACTAAAGCCCTTGGCTCTGCCCTGCAGGCCTTCCTGTCACTGCTGGAATTGTTAACGGCACGCGGGAAATATGACGAGTTCTGCGTGCCCATGGTCATGGTCCCGGCCACCGTCTCCAACAATGTGCCGGGCTCAGACCTCAGCATCGGTGCTGACACGGCTCTGAACGCCATCACCGCTGTAAGTGATGGGGCTGGCGACCAGAATGTCAAACTTGCTTTACGCTCACGGGGAGAAAAGGGAGAAGTCGCTCACTCTAGTCGTTTTACCGGCCTGTCAGGGAAGTATTTGTGAACATCTGTTAACCCAAACAAAACAACAAAAAAACACCTCAGGCAGACGAGACAAATTGAGTCGCGTCTGTGCTGCGAGGCATGACTGGTAAAGGTAAAACCGAGTCACAGAGCAGCGTCCCCCCCCCCCACCCCCCCCCTTTCCCTATCAGGTGAGTAAGTGAGTGGCAACATGGAGGCATGCTGTGAGGTGCCAGAGTGTCGTGACCGGCCGCCATGTTTGCTCTGCCCGCCCGTCTGTGTGTTTGTGTCCCAACCCCAGGATGACTGGTTAACAGCATGCAGGTTTGATCTTGTCTACTTAGCTCACGTACAGCGGCCGAGCACAAACTAACACCTCGCAGTACAGAGCGTGCATCTGCTTGAAATGATAACGAAGCTGCCACACTAACTTTGTTCCGTACCAATGCGACATTAAAGAATGCTCTTGCTGTTTTGTTTAAAGCATCCTGATAACTCAAATTGACATAAACATGACTTAAGCTCAAATGTAATGAGAATAACATCTCAGTGCCTGGATCCTTGCCACCATCTCCTTCATCCTCCTGTGTATGCAGACTCGACCGGTGCTTGTCTTGCCTGCGCATAGCCTCCTGAGCTGCCGGTGCTCACAAACACACAGAGCTCTGTCCCATCTTCCCCGGTCTTTCTTCCCCCTGCTCTATCAGCTCCACCACCTCCCTTTGACGATGCCCTTTCATTCTCTTCATGTTCCCATCTCCCCTTTCTTCTCCGTCTCTCTGTTCACACTTCCATCCTCCCGTCCTCTCCGCCAAAGGGAAGCCATTGCCGCTATCACACGGAAAGAGCCGGAAATGGCAGGAGAGCGCTCTAGCAAACTGAGAGAGAGAGAGATTCCCCTCTCTCTCTCTTGCGCTCTCTCTCTCCCGGTGGCCCGTCGTACAAGCGGCTCTTAACACATTTTCACATGCTGCCGCTTCAGGCCTTTGAGAGTCTGCTGCAGCTGTACGAGGCTCGCGCTACCCACGAGGAGTTTTGCATCCCGATGTGTATGCTGCCCGCCACCATAAGTAACAATGTGCCGGGCACAGACCTAAGTATCGGGGCAGACACGGCCCTCAATGCCATCGTGGAGGTAAGGCAGTCCAAACCGCCGCCGGCACAACTTTGACCGCTTTGACCGCATGCCAATGATGAAAATAACACATGATATGCATCCACTGCTTATATTCAACAAAACTGTCAGCCAACAGCAGTAAAGTGTTGCACAGGTATTGGCCGCAGCTCTATAGATTTATGTAGTCATTAACATGATGTAGTCATTCTTTTTTATCCCAACTCAAAGTTAACCCTGACTGTAGTTCTAACATCACACGTATAGGATTAACTTTAACCCAAACACTTCCACTAAATGTTAAAGGGGCACTCCACCGATTTTACACATTGAGTTGAGTTGTACTCGTCATGAGGAGTTTAAATCAGCCTGTGAGTTGCTTCTAACAGAAAGACTGCATTACCACCTGCAGGTGTGAGTTTCTAGAGACGTGGTCATTTAGAAGGCAAGATGCACGTTGAGTTGCATTATGGGAAATGTAGGATCCAGGTTTTTTTTGGAGCTTGATCCACACTAGAGACTACAAATCAGAATACCTCGGCCTCTGCTGCCTCGATTTAAACCATTCTTTCATTACATCTGTCTTCTGTGAGTCCTCCAACTTGATGGACATGCAATACTAAATCACTGGGAAGCCCCTTTACCATTGTTGTAAGTGTGGAGTTTTTTACTGATGTCACAGTCACCTGATATCAAACTGATTAGCAGCATTGAACTAAGATTTCTTTCCCCTCTAAATATAATTCTAACCATGTGCTTGACATTTGAACTGTAAGATGTGAGATGTGAAGTTTACCATCTGATTTGCTCTCTCATCCTGACGCAGGACTCCAGTCTAACTGGTGAAAGCGACATTTCAGCCTGAATCTGCCCGAATTATTTAAATGTAGCAAGTTGACTCTTGTGCAGATTGAGAAATGAGCATGGCGGCTGTGAAACTAGTGTCTGTTTATCTCCAGCATGTGGAATGTATTACTTGACCTGTAATCCTCGCACTCCTGACCATGATTTTTAGACTCTTTGTTATGCTAAACATGAAATATAACCGGAGTTGTCTCACATATCCCGTTTCATAATGCATAGCTCGTAACAATCGCCTGACGTGCACTGACTTGGTGAGCTTGTGTGCGTGTGTCAGACTTGCGACCGCATCAAGCAGTCGGCCAGCGGGACCAAGAGGCGCGTGTTCATCATCGAGACCATGGGAGGCTACTGCGGCTACCTGGCCAGCGTGGGAGGCCTGGCCGCCGGAGCCGACGCTGCCTACATATACGAGGAGCCCTTTGACATCAGAGACCTGCAGGTAACTCGGCCTCCGCTGTTTGAGCCTCCTCTTTGATTCCACAGCTCACTTCGTCCACAAGAGGGCATTCGGACGGCCTCTGCTGTACAATGCCGTCTGCTGGTCACTCACAATTTCCCGTTTGTACCCACAGGCCAACGTTGAGCATTTGACTGAGAAAATGAAGACCAGCATTCAAAGAGGACTGGTCCTCAGGTAACAACCATTTTAATGATGCTGCGTGTGTTTCTTTGCGCATGTGGACTTAGACGTCTAACTGTTTCCTTTCACTGCATGTGTGTGTAGGAATGAGAACTGTAATGAGAACTACACCACGGACTTCATCTACCAGCTGTACTCTGAAGAAGGGAGGGGGGTGTTCGACTCCAGGAAGAATGTGCTGGGACACATGCAGCAGGTAGGCACAGCCGTGCCGGTTCCCCTTTCACACCCACTAAAGTGTCAGGGGTAACAGTTCATCCAGGCCTAGGAAGATTTAATAAACCATTTTTTATATTTGTATCATGAATATGCATGTCCCCATTTCACATGGGCGGGCTTTGTTGTGTTTTGGCTTTGCGTGTCTTGAGATTAGCACGGATAAACCAGGATCAAACAGAACTTCCATGGTCCCAAAGGGGGAAGTGGGTTGTGCCTGCAGCAAGTAAAGGGATACAGAAAAAGTATATTTTAAACATGCACAGCACAACTAACAATGTTTAATATGTAAAAAACAAAGAAGTTTGGTGGCTCTGGGTTTGAATCTGGTCTTAGAATTGTGATGCATATTCATCTTTTCATCATTTCCTTTTTCGTCACTGTAAATGTGCAGTCTTTAAAACATGACAAGAAAAAGAAAGAAGTATTATCCTCAAAAAAAATGCAACAAAGTGAAACATTGTGATTCTTTGGAAAGGGAGGAGCGCCGTCTCCGTTCGACCGTAACTTTGGGACCAAGATCTCCGCCAAGGCGATGCAGTGGGTCACCAAAAAGCTGGTGGAGACATTCAGACAGGGTAAGGTTGATGTTCCACCTCAGAGTTAGTGAAAGGACCCGTGGTAGTCGATTCTCCCTCCCTACAGAGGCGTGACCGTTGTGAAGCGGACCTTTACCCACATCCGTCATGGAGTCACTGTCTGATGTTCTGACGTATTTTGAGGAAATTATTTATTGATCCTTTGAATCCATCAGCATAACTACTTGATGAGAAATTGATTTGAATGTACTTGCAGATGGAAAACAACTGTGAGAGATGTGTGATACTTCTGAGCAATAGTTTGTCTTAAAAGCACACTGAATGTGTACAAAGGCAACAATTAAAGTTAAAAGTCCTCTTTGTTTTTTGTCTATTTCCTATACACATGGATGACATAAGATGAAGGTAAATCTTTATTTTTCCGCTGGCTCCATGACCATCTCCTTTATATTTAGCTCCATGTCCCTGTCTTGTCTTTTCCATTAGTCTTATAGATCCACTCAGGCAGTCCAGGCACTTGTGCGGTACAGCTGTGACCAGTCTGTGTCTCACAAATTTGGCAGTAGCCACCGTGCTACACTATTCCCAGTTCACAAGTCGTCTGAATTACTAAGACTGGAAACTAACGGACACTTGTTTCCTGCTCTGCCTCGCATCTTTCCCGTTCACCTGTGACTCTTTATGTCGCCTCAGTTGCTTTCTGTGTTTAGACTTTCATCCCATCTCCATCCTCCCGTAGATCCACGCAGAACTATTGTGTTAATAGCTAGAAGAAAAGCCTCCACCGCTCTACACTCACTGCCAAACATCTGATCCATGCTGATGTCCGTTTGCAACCCTCTAAAGTACGTTTCCCGTGTTTCCACCTCTTGACTGCTGCGGTCTTTCCCCGCAGGCCGAGTGTTCGCTAACACCGAGGACACCTGCTGCCTGCTGGGGATGCGGGGCAGGGCTCTGGTCTTCCAGCCCGTTGTGCAACTCAAGGGAGAGACCGATTTTGTGTACGTATGGAGCCACGTGGACTTAAAGGCACACTGCACCAATTCTTTCTTCTTTCTAGTTGTGGTACATGTTAATGCTAGCTCACCCAACCTGCCGTGGTGCCAAAGCTAAATGCTGAAACCGGTATTTTTATCACACTGGTCCAGATGGGAATTTGATCTTTTTCTCTTCCTCATTCATTAGAATAGATTAGATTTGTGCCACATGGGATCAGAAATGACCGTTAGAATTAGAACATTTCTGTTATAGTGACAAAAAAGAAAAGCCACAACCACAGTGCTGAGATCTGCCCGTCTGTCCGCAGTCACAGGATCCCCAAGGAGCAGTGGTGGTTGAAGCTGCGTCCTCTGATGAAGATCCTGGCTAAGTACAAGACGAGCTACGACGTGTCGGACTCCGGACAGCTGGAGCACGTCGTGCGCAACCGGCCCAGAGAGTCGGACGCTTCGGTCGCCATGTGAGGGCCAGCGGACCACGGTGGCCCCCCAAAGTCCAGTCTGTGTGCAGGACCGGAAGGTCCGCGAGGCGTCGGTGTGTGTGTGTCGTAAAAAAAAAAAAACAGCTTGAGTAACGACGTCAACAGCCGTCTCTGTTTGACCGCATACCGTGTTAATTTCCTGTCTGTCATTACCTTCAATATCATGAACCGTAACCGAGCCTCTGCAGTGTTCCTAATATCAAACACACATACACACACACACACACGTGCGTGCTCTCGTACACAGCTGTCCCGCCATGCATCTTGTGTGTACTTGTCGCCCTGGATGTTTAGTGTCACCGCTGTTTTAAAAAAATGCACTTTCTCTGTCTCCGGTTGCGTAGGCAGGCTCTGAGCCCAGAACTGCACCAGGACAGAATAGACCCTGTGTGTAACTGCTGTAAAAACCTGTGTGTGTGTGTGTGCGTGTGTCTGCCTAGACCCAGTGTGAGGTTCAGCATATTTATGTGAGACTGATGCAATACAGCTCTACTGCTGCAAGTCAAGAGGACTGTGTGCTGTGCTTTACACTGAAACTAATATTTATCTTTTTAACTTTGTTTATTATTTTGCTCGTCAACATGGATATCTTATTAACTGTAGGCAGTGCTGTACTGTCATGTTGCACCAACAAGTTAGATGTGTAAGAGACTAATGTTTCCCATGGAATAAAAATCAGTCTTGAGAAGTGTAACCTATTGAGTAGTGTCACTGTATTTATTTATTTATCCACTGAACATCCAGATTTCGGCTTTTATGGAGCTTTCAAGTTGGAAAATTCATTGTATGCTACCCTAGCAGTATCATTTTTATGGCGTTGTTCCAGCTCTTCACTAAAGCTGTATAATAATAATAATAATAATAGTAAGTTCATTTATCCAGCACCAAGAGCAACACTAAACAACAGACCTGAATGCAGACATCAAGCTAAAAACACAGACGACACTGAAAAAAACCTAAACTAAAGCAAGTCGAAACAATTGAGTCTTGATGCTGCTTTCTAAAAGTGTCCAGAGAGAGAGAGAGAGAGAGAGAGAGAGTTCTAAAGCCGAGTCTTCTTTGTGTCTTGAGCCTGGAGCGAGGAACAACCAATAAACCCTGATCAGAGGACCTCGGAGGCCTGCTGCTGATGTCGGGCTCTTTAATGTAAGCAGGCGCCTGACCTCGCAAGGCTCTGAACGTGAGCCTGCGGAAAGAAATCAAAACGTCAGACACATGAGGAGGACTCGGTCTAAAGCTCGGCAGCAGCATTGTGGACCACTTGTAGGAGATTTAAGGACGTCTCGCTGGGGCCGGTTAAAAGAGAATCGTGATTGGTCAAGACTGGAGGAAAGAACGAATGAATAATCATTTCAAACCAAGCTGTGGACACAATGGGCCGGAGTATGGTGTGAAATATATAATAGCACTTTTTTTTATGGCTGCACTATTCCATCTAATGGAAATAAAATAAAGGTCTTGATCTTCACTTTAATTTGAATGAATTCCCCAATTCTATTTGGGTTTCACCAAAGCTTGGAGAACATAAAGAAAAGGGTTTTTAATGACGAACCAGCAGCAGGTTAGTGGCTGTGGAAGGATTGCTGGCCTACAGAGCACAGCCTCAGGGGCCTCAAGGAGTCAGGGGGCCACTGGACCAGAGCCTCTGTTTGAAGTGACTGTTAGCGTTTCTAGTTTGAAATTCAACCAGACAGGCGCAGAGACAAAATGACCGCAAAGAGACACAAAAGGACCGCATTGTTTGTGATTTGGGGTTTCCCTTTGCACGACAATAGTGTCACAATCCGTCCACGTTAGTGGGTTTTTAAGATAAAGGCTCTGTGATGGTGGTCACTCCATAAACCTAGAAGTGAAATACATAAATGCAGCACATGAAAATACAACCATGCATATTATATAATACAATTTAAATGAGTATTAAGATTTTTGTTTTTTAAAGAAAAATAAATTGCTGGATTTGTCACCCAAAGCAAGGTGCTGTTCTAATAGAAAATCAATACGGAAGGAACAATAAAGACATCTCCAATATGTATACCTTTTTCAATAATAAATCTAAAGACGGGGATGAAGTGCGGAAACAGAATACACAAGAAGCATCTTGTGATAGTGGTGCTTTGATTAAGAACCGACCAAGCACCAGTCAAAAGACTCCCAGACTGCACTGCTGCTGGTGTTCTCATGCTCTAAGCCAGCAGGTGGCGGCAGAGCACCGTCACGTCCCCGGCGTCCCGGGTTCATCGGGTGCATTATGACACAGATTCCCTCCATCACTCGCTGTCCACTTCTGCTCTCCACAACTCCACTACTTGGTGGCTTTCTCTGAAAGCAGAGTAGGCGCGTGAGGCCTTGTGTGAGCGTGCGTGTGTGTCTGTAGCCATAATTAGGAATTAATCTTATCATTTGAAAGAAAATTTCAATTTCCCATGGGTGTATTAATTGTGTATACATGTAATTGGGCTGCTTTTTCCTTTCTCTGTCTTAACTGCGAGTAATTACATGCATATATGGCCGGGCTGAGGCCATCGCTTAGCGACAGCGTGGTGACGTAAAATGTAATTTGAAGCAAAAGCTACCTGAATCACCTCTACTCCCCACGGACCCTCCTGGAATAATTACCATCCTCGACTTAAACCAGTGCGGTTAATTCAGCCTTTACAACCCACGCCTCCGCACAAAAAGATGCCTCCCATCACTGTAATTTCCTCGGACCCCAATGGGCCCATGGTTCATTGTGGAGGCATTTTCATGTTGCCGGCTACTTCTCTCTGAGCATGAAATTAGTAAATCCAATAATTTGGGTTGATTTAAGAATGCGAGGGGAGACCGCGGGGCCACGTGCCCATAGGTAATCAATACTAATTACCATTTCATTTCCTCCCCCACACTTATTTTTCCTCCAGAATCACATGTGAATCTCATCTCATTGGACTGATTAAAGGTTGCAAATGAAGGGTCCTCACTCCCCTATTCTCATCAAAGGCCAAGCACACGCTCGGTACCTTTGTCTTCATTTAATTCTACATTGTCTTCAGACAAGGCCCCCAATTATAAGCTCGCAGTGAATCTTCAACATAGCCGGTGCACACTGACCTTTTTCAGATTAAAAGCACATTCTCCTCTCAGGGAGTCCCATACGGTCCGATTTCCCTCCTAATGAACCGCAGTGGTTGGAATTTCTAGCGCTGTAATAACTAGTGGAGAGCAGCAACGCTAAAATAAGATTACTATAAAGGTATTGTGATAACAACAGTGACAAGAGCCAATATACCCTGGGCTGGCTGAGATTGGAAAAGCAATATTTTTTATTTATTTCAAATGAGTCACACATATGACATTCAGAATGAATATTTATGAATAGATAAATCCATGCAAAAACAAATGAACACATAATACATTCCAGGAGAGAGATGAAAAAGGCGCAGACCAGCAGAAGTTATAGATTTCAGATACTGCAGTCCCTGCCGGCTGAAAACCTATACTTTGCAGGAGCTGGTTCCCAAATGCACGAGTGATTCACGTGACCTGTTTCCAGACATTGGACAAGGGATTTGATCCACCTCACACACACACACACACACACACACACACTCACACACAAGAGAAGATCTGGCTTAACACAAGCCTAGCGAGTCGCACTCCAATTTAGACTTCCCACAATCCAGCAGGCCATGTGTAGAAATGCTCATATGAGAGTTTTCCTCTGACAATTAAGACACCCATGGAGGCATGGAAAGCTCTCAATTCCATTAGCCTCTGTGCTGTTTTCACTCTATCTGTCCACTGAGCCTTAACTTACTTATTAGTACAAGTCTGCCGTATTTTGTTGGGGAAGCGATTAGCGGAAATCTACATGAAAAGGCAATTTCCCTCGTCTTTTCCTTGCCCTCACTCTCACACTTCATTGGGATCAGACAGATCTAAAGAATGGCATTTGCGCACTAATGAAATTGTCTCTGCATCAATTCTGATGTTGCTCTTTGGACGGAAGCCACTCGTGTCTTTATTTACTTGTTATGGTCGGTGTTGGCTAAAATTACACTGCCACTGGTGCGCTGCCCCCCCCCCCCCCAGTTTCACCAAAGGCTGGGAGCATCGGCTGGCAGTCAGCTTAGAGACTGCAGCTCCACTTTGATGTATTGGAGTTAATATCTTCCTGACATTTCTCAGGACAGATTTTCATCACTGGATTCATCTGTACTTTTGGGGCTATGTGATGAATGAGTCAGGACATTCATTTTCCTCCTCTCATCTCTCTCTTCTGCAGAGGAAAGATATGTGTGTGTGCGCGTGTGTAAATATGTATCTACTGTTGAGATGCAGGCGTGTGAATCTTTTCATGAGGTTGGTTGTGCATTGGTGTGTGTGTGTGTGTGTGTGCGTTCCTTTGTGTGTTTCCATATTCAGCCCCAGTGTGCCTGAGCAAGCGGGAGTCTGAAGCGAGCGTATACTTGTGACACGAAATAGACGGCGGCATTAATGGAACTGACATTAATTTGACAGAGCGCTCACTAACATGCGAAGTCACTCGCAGTTCATAATAATAATATTAACTCTGCATTAACATGCAAGGCTGTCTGTTGCGCCAGATGTCGGGCTGGGCCCGGTTCTAGACAGCTTTGAATGGGGGGTGTTGATATGAGTGTTCTTTAGGACTGTAAGCTGGAACGTGCACTATTTTATGTTTTTTATCTGAAGCCATCCCCCAACGTGTACATGTAGGCTGTGTACAGTAATCAAGTGGCTTTCCACATTATATGGAGTAGCTGTGGGACAGTAGTTAGCTCTAAATAGCTTTTCATAATTTTGGTTGGCAGTTCTCTTTTCCCTTTTCTTCTCTATTGATATACTCCACACCTAGTATATCTTTGTCCCAGTCACATCGCTGGTCTCATAGCTCTGAAACAACAGTGACAATCACAGCTAAATGCAGTGGTGGACTCAGGCTGACTGAGTGACACTGGAAAAAAATACATTGGGTACAAGCGCAGACAGTTTTCTAGCTTGTAAGGCAGCCTATATGGCACTGAATTGTGCTTTCTTCATTTAAGGGCACCTTTTTGTGGATTGCATTTAGTTTTCTCTACTGGAAGGGCACTCTATAAGGCAATTTATCATGTTTTTCTCCACTGTAAGGATACCCTAGAGGGCAATCTATCTTGTTCTCTTGTCTGGATGGGCATTCAAGAAGCCACTTCACAATGTTTTCTCTACTTAAAGGGCATCAAAGAAGCCCCATTGACATGTTTTATCCACTGGAAGAGCATCAAAGGAGCCACTTTATCATGTTTTCTCCAC